TCACAGGATGAGTGCAGAAAAGTTTGTCCATCTGAAAAGTACCATGAAGTTACTCCTGGGTGTGGTAGCTGGAGACTTTGACAAGTGAAGGCTCTTCTCAGGCCACCCCATAGCCCAGCCAGGCTGCTGCTGAGAGGAGTGCTCAGCTGGCAGGTCCTTTCCCAGCTTCACTAACTTCAGCTTGCACCTTCCAGCCTATTTGAGCTTCCCAAATAACCACCCTCTCAGCCAAGGGCACAAGAGATCCTTCACTAGCAGACACTGCTCACGAAACCTAAAGGTCTTCCCAGACTTAGATCCTCCTACTCCTTTTATTCATGTCTCATATTTGGCCTCACTTTTAGGGCCAGGCCCATTCCTTTCCCTGACACAGCCATGCTGTGTACACCTCTGTGAATAGTGCTGAACTCTTCATGTTCCCTCCCCATGTCTTGGGATTGTCCGCATCCATTTCTCTCTGCTCTCATCTAGTCTTTATTTACTTATCTTCCCTTACACCATTTTTCACCTGACATTGCCACTCATTCTCCAAGCACATCCTTCCTTTTCCTCCTAATCTCCTACTAGGATACAAAGCTTTCACGGACTGTGCTTCTCACTACGTGCTGCCACCCTTCCTCCCATGCTCCGGGTGCACGACTGAAGGAAGTCACACACACGCTTGACCCAAGTGCTACATAAAAGTACTGCAGAACTGAGTCTTGGACTATAGGATTTGAAGGGCTTGCTATTAGTGTTTGGTTTATGATCTGTGACACACAAATGGCACCTGATTAAAAAGAACTCAGAATTCCTCTGTATATTCAGATCTCTGCATATCATGAATCCTACGTAGAGTATGCAACGACTCAGGTGTCTTTTTACACTAGGTGTGATTTACCTGAGTGCTCACCAACAGCCATGTAGTTTTTGAGACATTAAAAATTAGGGAAGAACCCAAACTGAGCGGAGAAGGTACTTCCTTTGTACTTGTAGAAGGAAACCCATGTCTTTATCCCTCACCAGTATTAAAATCTCCTAGGAGGATTTTTTAAAAGTCTCTTTTTAAAAAATCTCAATTTAAAAATCTCTCATGTTTGAGAAAAGTAAAGATGAGGTTTTGGACATGATTAAGATTTCACATCACGGCTTTTGCCCAGATTCTGAGGTTACATATCTGGTCAAAACATTATCTGTTTGAGGCTGCAGCAACAAAAATTTAGACTATGGCATATCTACAGCTCACAGATTGCCTGTTTCATATTAACAGCATAATAAGTATTTTCATTTTTGTACTAAAAGCAGTACATGATTTGAAGTGGTTTCTCCATTTCAAGTAATTGTATGTATTAAAACAAATACCGAAGTTGCAAATCCACAGTTTGCAATCAGGCTGGCAGAGGATATGATTGACTTATAAGAAATTCTCTTTGAAAACAAGAACTTTGTTTATCAAGGATAAACAAAACAAGGAAAGGGAACAAATCAAAATAACTCATTTGCTTTATAATATATAAGTAAAAGCTATAATGTATATGAGTTGTAATATATATATAAATTATTACATTCTTTACCTAGTACTCAATGTAAATAATTTCCTATGTAAGGTGAGGGGGAAGAGCTCTGGAATTTACTTATATCACTTAGTGGGAAAGCAACAAAGGAGGTAGTTATGCAATATGACTTGAAAAATAACATAGTTCATGGTGAAGATATATCTAAATTATATTCTGACGCAATTCTCTGCCACTTGCTTGTAAGTGGTAATAATCTGAACATAAGAAAATTGCTTTCTCAATGAAACCAGGTTTGTACCAGAGAAGGTACACTTGTGCACAAGCTGTTACATAAGTTGCTCCTTTAAGGACACACTTCAAACAATTTCTCAGCATAAACCTCCCTCAGAACTAGGAATGATACCTGAGTTTTGCAGCCCTGCTGATGGAAACTGGAGACAGCTGAAACTGTCTGGACCATAACGTCCACTTTCAACATTGGTGAACTTCAACCTTCTCCAAAGTGTTCCCACAAAAGATTTTAGATTGATTTTAGAAGCACTTATGCAAAATTGTGAAAATGTAGTGAGAATTACATTACGATGAAGCTTTATCGTTTCTGTGCAGTACCTAGGTACTTTCTGGTAGCCTTCTAAATAAGCCTGTGCAGGATATCCAGGGACTGGGAAAGGGAGGTGGATAAGCTTGGCTCCACTAAACCTCCATCTAGAGCCAGTAACGGGAGCCCTACTCCCATCTAGAGACCCATCATTCCCATTACAGACTAGGCTGCTCTGTCCCAGCTGGGAGTCATCCTGCACACGTGGCAGAATTCATCGAGCTCTGGGCAGGGGCCAGCTTGTCCTAGTGACACTGGAGATCAAACGCCTCTAAAATTGCTTTATTTCCCCTCATAAATTAATTTCCTCCATTTCCACTCTTTGAAGTGTGAAAACATCAAGACTATGACCACTCTGCACAGAGTGGTGAGTCACGAAGAGAGGGGCAAGAGCTTTATCAAAGAAAGGGGAAAGTGCCAAAGGCTCTTTGAAACTCCTGAGGTTACCTTTACATTTGCAAGTAGTAAGGCCTGACAGGAGTAATGTACAGTTTGTCTCACTTTTGAAATTGCAGCATCTAAACTACATGCATTTGGGGGAGTAGGGAGTTCTCTGAACTATCCCCAGTTTAGTCCCACCAGCTGGCACATGTGAAATATGGTCCTGCAGCACATCTCCTCATTTAAGCTCATTTGAGGGAAATGCAGTTTGCATGCTTTGTGAACCAAAGCATTGTAAGTGGCAACAACTCTGAGGGTTGGTGGGTGGGACTTTTTTGGTTTGGATTTTTGGGTTTTTTCTTGGAAAAAGTGCAGTCCTGACAAGGTACAACCTTGTAGCAGCTGATATAATAGAAAGGATCTGCAAGACACTAAAGCAATAATCAAAAGTAGAAAGAAAAGTAGACAGAAGAGAGGGTAAGAAAGAGCAGAGAATCTCCAAAAGTAATAAGCCTCATTAAAACTGGAAAACAGGCAAGAATGGAGCGCAAAGTGATCTGGGATTTCTGCCTACCCTTCTAAAGACAGCCGGAATGAAAACCTGAAAGCCTCAAGTCAGAGCAGAGTAAAAAAAAAAAAAAAAAAAAGAGAGAGAAGATGAATGTAAGCCCATAGACTACTATACCTTTAAATGCAGAAGACAGTGTGCTGAAACAGAGACAAAAAACCTGAAAATTAAATGGTGAGGATGTGAGCAGTGGCTAGGAGGAGCTGGGATTAAGAGAACAAGATCAAAGTTAGCTGAAGAAAGCAGAGCAAGTATTTTCAGTTGAATGCAGTCCAAACCAATAGATAAGGACAATGGGAAACGTGAGATCCCCAAATCTTCCTGTTTTGTTCTGTTCTGCCACAGTCTTGTAGCTTTACATTTGCCTGTCTCCTTTCGAAAGAGTCATCCAATTGTAATGCCACGCCTTATCTTCATGACGAGGCCTATAGCTGAAATATAGAGTGACTCACCAACACTATTTCAGCTGAGTGAACACGATTCTAATAGCTGTCTCCTAATTAGCAGGTTTTTGAGATAAAGACAGTTGAATAGCTTGCATCCTCTGACACTCCAAATTAATAACGCTCCAGTAGCAAATAATAAAGTGGTAGAGATTGGCATTATTACTTTTTGGTACAGTATAAAATAGATTAATATTAATCTGGCTTGTTTATCTACACAGTCTAGACTATTTCAAAATGCTGGAGATCTCTGCCTTGGCTCTAACAGATGATGCCCTAGAGAGCTCTAAATAAAGCTAAAAGAACTGCTCCTAAAGCAAGATTCAAGAATTTCTAGATTACAATTTTATGAATAAAATTAATTAACCAACAATTCATTACATTCTAAAAGCTCCATCTGACCGTAATAATCCTTGTTTGCAGCCCAAACAGTATTTGATAATTGCAGAATGATGGAGTAATGTGGATATTTTTTGATTACAGTTCATTACATAAGATAACAAGGAAGAATTTGTCTTTGAATCATAGCGAAAACTTAATTGACACTACCATTCTAAAATATTTCCAATGACTAAATTTCAGTCTGTGTCTTAATCACTCTTATATTAGAAAGATATTTTAACAAGATAATGCTGTGAAAATAATTTCATTGCATTATAAAACCTTTGGCTGGATCTCATAAGTAATTAAACTCCAGCCATCTTGGAAATCTGACACAAATGCAATTCTAATTTTAATATTCTTTAAGGTTATAAAGTTTCAAGTTTCTTTCACTTTTGTCTACTGCCTTTAATCAAATTTAAGCTTTTCCCTCCCTCTCCACCACCAAACAGTCTAAAACTTATACTTTCAAGATAATTTCAGAAGCCATAAGTGCTAGACACCAGAATCATGCCTCAGCACACAAGTGGAACTTAAGCAGCAACAAGGGCAATCTTATAAAATGCAGTTACTTTTCTAAGCAATATGTGCAATGATTCCCAAGTACTACTCTCCCAGGACATTTCCTCTAAACAGACATGCTCTCAGCTGAGGCTGAAGGTGCTGAGAGCTTCTTCAGTATAGAGCAGTGTTCACATAAGCTCAGGTTTCATCCAATAAGGCATTTCCACCGTGAACTCACATTTATTTCAGAGGCCCTTCTCAACTCTGTATGTAATAAAATAACAGATAATCTCCTATGGAGATACCAAGATGCAACAGGAACAACTACAGGGCTGCCCATCCTTCATATAGACAGACCTGGCTGCCTGAGGTTTTAAAATGACAACAGCACATTTTGAACTAAAACACTTGTAGGGAAGGACACAGAGCCAGTTCTATGCAGCTGGGATTCTGCCTGCCCCAGATTGTGCCAACAACTACTTCACTTCCAGCTCATCTCCTTCTGACATTTATGAAGATCCCACAACTCGAATTAGCAATAACTCAGTGCTCTGGGTCAATTTGCTTTCACATCCCCCAGACAATTACTATTAGTTGAGAGAAGGTTTATGCAGACAAAAGAGACCTGATTTAGGAAAATAATATTAACATTTATTACTAACAAGCTAAAACTAAAGAACTGTATCTACAACAATTCTACTTAAGTACTATGTATTTACAGAAAATACTTCTCCCCCCTTTTTATCAGTCTAAGGAGGAAAAGCAGTTTCTTTCTCCATTCTCGGAGCTGCAGGTCTCTTCAATAACTCTGCAGCACTCTGGTCGCAGTTGGAATTCTTTCTTTTTCTCTCTTGCTCTGTGTCGGCCTCCAGGGCTGGGCCAACCCCCTGTCCTAGGCTAAGACCGGAGGCTGGGGGTTACCCAGGCTCTGAAGGTTTTTTCTTCCATGGTCTTGCAAGGGGACACTTGCCTACCATGGATCTTCTTCCACAGGGTTACAGGGGATAATGGTTTATGAGTCCCCCCTGTTTCACTGTGGAGGTCCCTCCCCACGGGAGAATAGTCCTTGATAGACCTCTCCAGCATGGGTCCAGCATGGATCCCAACATCCCTACCCAAGCCATTTTCTGCTCCAGCGTAGGTCTCGTTTCTCTCTAGGTCACAAATCTCCAGCACTAGCAGCATGGATCTCTCACTGAGATCCCAAGCTTATCCAAGCCATCTTCTCCAGTGTAAGCCTCGTCCTTTCTAGGGTCACAAATCTTCAACAGGACTCTGCCTTATCTCAGTCCTTTTCATGAAGTCTCGGCTTCCTCATGCAACTTACTCTAGTGTAGGCTCCTCCACGAGCAAAATGGGGTCTCCTCACCCCAACAAACTTCTGCAGGTGGCAGGGATTATTTTTTTTTAGACTTTGCCCTGCTGAAGGGAGAGAGTGAAAGGGGGGAGAAACAGGTCCCCCTTCGTACTTTTCTTCTCTCTCCTGCAGCTGCCAGCTTCGACCTTGGACACTTCGTTATCTCTTTGCTGGAATTTCTTCTGCAGTGTTTCTTGTCCAAGCAGTCAGTCCTTCTCTAAAGTTTTTTGATTCACTCTCTTACAAGAGAGAAGAGGGGCTTCAGTGCCGCACCTGCCCCCAGCCCAAGCCAGGGGAGGAGGAGGCCTTGGCCCACTGCTGCCTCTCCTACATGGCTGCTGCTCCTAATTTCAACTGCGCAATAAGCCTTCTCTTCCGTTTTCTTAAATATGTAATTAGCAAAGGCGTCACTAAGAGTTTTGATTGGCCTTTTTGTCTGGAAATCCACCTGGACAAAACCATCCTCAGCCCCAGGGACTAGCCGGTTGGGCAAAACCATGACACTCAAAATCACCAAACCAGTTTTCATTTAAAGGTACAGCTGACTTGCACACTAGAGGCAGAGTCAAGAGAAGTGCAGAATTCAGGCTCCTGTCAAACACCTAATTGCTGAACAAGGAAGCAAGAAATTAAGGACAGTCTGGGGAAATAAAAAAAAATTGCTTTTGCTGCATTGCACAGTTCACTTAAATTTAATGTCCTGTGTTAAGACTCACCATAACTGTTGATAAGATGATTAAAACTATGCAGCCACAATATCGTGGTCCAGACTTCAAACAATACAACTGGATTTGCAGTCTTGCTATAGGCTTATCTCTTACTACAAGCAATAAGGAACTCCAAACCATTGGATCACATTTTGCTCATTAATTAATTAAAATCTGCCATTTACATGAGCGTTCTGTAAATTTTTCTCTGAAAAAGCTTTTTTAACCGAGCATGTGAAAAACAGATAGAAACCCCCTGCACTTGTGGCAATAAGAAAAAAATCAGAAGAATAAAAGGATGGAAAAGTTGTTCCTGTACATGGCTTCTGGGTCCCACGACAGAGACAATTTACTCAATCCAATTACCCTGTGGATGTTAAAATGCCTTTACAGACTAACCAGACGAAACTTAAGCCATGCATATAGCACTCACTACAAGGTGCACATGTTTACAGGGAGTCAAGGTTAGGAATATGTATGGTTTCTGTGATGTATAGACTTTTTTTTTTCATAGACAAACATACACATGCATATAAAATATTTTCTAGAACCAAGCAATACCAGTGCAGGGAACACAATCTTACACTTACAAACAATCTATATATATGTAAATACACAATGAAGGCCTAATGAACTTTCTATTTGTTGCAGAATTGCCAAGCTCCTGTCTGAATGTCAAAAAACCATCCCTTGCACTGAATAATATGATGACAATTTTCTGTGTCTAAGTGACATCAATAAGTATGGAGAAATGCATATGTGTTTACAATAAATTAGTGTAATGTTGTTTCCCCCCTAAGCATCAATTCCACTATAGTTTTCTGTACTAACTTGTCAAGAATAATGGGAGTAAACTAGTGAATAGATACATAATGTATAAAAAAGAAGTTTATTGTTCCTCAAAAATATTTGCACATAGTTTCATTCTATTTATATACAGTAGTACATTCAAGTTTAGACATCAGGATTTCAAAAACACAAATATATTGACTTCTATATTTGGTTCAAATTCTCTATCACACCTTTTTCTGAAACCCTCAGATGGCATTTTACAGTAAGTTGAGCCAGTAAGAGACAAACCATATCTAGAAAAAGCAGTTCCGCCTGCCCTATGATCTTACCCCTTCCTTGTGCTCAGAAGTATTGCTACTCTAACCCTTCAGTGATCAGGTCAGGGAGCTAAACTAGCTTATAGTAGTGAGTAAAAAATCCCAGGAAATCCCAGGAAGATGAAACAGGCAATAATTGATCTGAACATCATCCTCTGTTAAATAGCGTGTCTTCAACTTTTGATGAGGACAAGAGCAACCAGCCTCAAGTTGCGACAGCGGCAGTTTAGATTGGATAGTAGAAAAAATTTCTTCAGCAAAAGAGTTGTTAGGTTGAACAGGCTGCCCAGGCAAGTGGTTGAGTCACCATCTCTGGAGATGTTTAAAAGATGTGTAGATGTGACACTTTGAAATGTGATTTAGTGGTGGACTTGGCAGTGCTGGGTTAAGATTTGGACTTGATGATTTTAAAGGCCTTTTCCAACGTAAATGATTCCATGATTCTATGACAAAACCTGGTTTAATAAATTGCATTAAAAAGATAACATAATAAGAGTAGTAATTTTCTTAAGTTTAAGTACTCAAATCAGGGTTGGATTAGATGAGCACCAGAAGATCGACACAAAAGGGTCAGAAATTTGTCACCAGGGCTGAGGGAGAGAGTAGGAACACTTCTGTGCTCAGTAGTTAACCACAAGACCATCTTCACCACATTATGAAAGCATACGCTTAGAGGTCATAGAAGAAAAGATAACACTCTCTCTCCTGCTTACAACACAACACAACAAAAATTCACATTGCATAACCTGGTTTATTTCCTAAGCCTTTGACAGACTAACAGAAGACATCCTGAAAATTAACCCTCCTTGTTATTGCCAGATCTTGATTTCTCCAGCCCAGTCACAGGTTGCAAGGAGTGATGGCAAGACTGGGTGAAATATTGCACTCACACAAGCTTCTTTATGTGCAGACAAAGTGCGAATAATCCTAGAAGTATGATAGTTGTAGAAAAACACTTTGCCATCTGAACTTCCTGTCACCAAAAGTGTTCCATCTGGAGAAAATTCACAGCCCACTGCAAATCCTTCCACCTGTGAAAATCAATAACAGTGTAACTCTTGATGCTGATTAGAAAAGTTAATTGTTGTATACTGAAAATTAATATAGTACCAAAAAATATATCTTTAAATAAATATACACTAAAGACTTCTCCAGGTGTTTATTAAGACACAGCTATACTACAAACATATTTAATCAAGCTATTAAGCATTCATAAAGTCTTGTAATAACTATTTTCTTCAGAGTACATATGATTCAAAGTATACTGGCACACAGGAAAGCAAATGAAGCCAATTAATATCTATCACTGATTTATAATAAAACACTATTAGAAGACATAGGTACTATTAGACATATACTACTACTAGAAGCAGAGGTACTTTGCTATCTATCTTCCTTTTCAACTTGGATACTGAGTTCCTGATGAAGAAGGATACCTTATGTCCTTCATATCTTTTCTTTTTGTTGATCCGGTACGGTCGCTGCGCAGAAAACAAAGCCATGTAGTTCCCGTTTGTCTGAGCAACAAACACAGACTCTTTTGGGTGCAGAGACAGACTTGGGCAAGTGTAACGCTCCTGAAAATAATTTTAAAGAAGGTTTTGTTGTATGAAACAAAATATTTGCTCAAATGATTCAAGTTATCTTTTGACATATTTGAGAGCCCATAAAAGACAAAGTATACAGAAGTCCTTTCCATAGCATACATTATATAAAGTTACTTAACTCATTACAAACCACTGAAAGTCTTCCATTAAGACAAATGCTAAATTAAATCTCTACCTCAATTCCCTAGATATTGACCAAAATCCCATATCTCTCTAAACCATAATTATACTGCAGAACAACTTAAGAAAGATAATTCCAACCAGATGGTTCTCAATCATCCTCTTCCTGCCAAGGAAAATCAAAGTTTGAATGTGAAAGTGAATCCTCTTCTCCCATATCCCTTCCTCCACAGTCATACTCTGCTTTCCATGCTACTTTGTACAGTTCTCAAATCCTCCATCCTCTCAATTCTGGCCACACTGACAGGAACATAAAATACCTCACTGAAAGAGACATCTTTCCTCACCACATTCTTATAAAAAAAAGAATAAAAAGGATCATTATTAGCCTCCTTATGACAGTAATGTAGGCTGCTGCTGGCTGTAAATTCATAAATATCTGCAGTAGTTAATAAGACTTGGTTTTACTCTAGAGTTTCTATTTAAGACTGAATTAAGATTACTTTCAGAACTCTGTATGGGGACTCCATCAGCCTGTTTTTGTAGTGTGATTTGGAAGTGAAGGACTGGTAAGGAAGTCCTGGGTACTATAAGGTATTGGGCAAAAAACACTACGTGTTTCCAGGAAGAAACTGGGTCTAACAGTATGAGATCAGAAAGCACGATGCAATCTGCAGGAGCACTGTGCTGTTATGCTGGCGATGCTGAAGTAATGGATTATTATAGAGCTCTTAACTATTCATTTGTTAATGCAATAGATCAAGTCCTGTTGGGATCTAACCTGTTTGGAGAGATTTCACCTCAAAGGTGAAATTCAGAAAAATGAAGCAGAGTGTTCAAAATCACTACCAAGCTTTGTTTATTCACAGTGCAGAAAAGAGGGGGGGGAGTAGGTGAGAAGTCCATTTCAGAGATGCTGTATTCATGAGGCGGGGGAGAGGGAAGGAGTGTTTATTTGTTTATTTGTTGTTCCTTGATACTGAACCTGTCTGGTCTGTAATTTATATATTCACAGTTGGATTTTTTTCTTACTATTAAGATGATGATAGGTCCAAAGACATAACTATGGAAATTAAACATGAAACAATCCCATTTAATCATCAACTACATGTCCTTGTCAGCAGAGAACTGTTCATTTCAGCCAAAAAGCATCTATATACAATCCAATCATATTATATTACATACGATATTAGACTTGGGTTTTCAAGAAAGACCCAGGGAGTGGAAATTATCTATTAACTTCCTTGGTAATCTCCTTTGAAGCTGTCAGTCTTTCTAGACAATTTAGTCCATTAAATGTCTTGCTTGGATAGCTGACTGAGAGAAACACTGCACCCGCACTGATAAATACAAATTTTGCCTCTGTGATTATGCTGTACTAGGTATCTGTATGCATGTATCAGGTTGCTATTACTATGTGAATATTAAATTCAGTTTCTCAATAGCCCTCAGTGCAGCTGATGAAAAATGTATGAAAAAGTGTGGGAAAAGAAACGTGGCACTATAGCAACTCCTGCCATGCACCACTGGCAAACTAAAATGACACTGCGGAGTCCTTGTCTAAATATAGCTCAGATGTCAGTGAATTAACACTGAAATGTAAATATTTTAAACACAAGGAGACCTCTCAGTCTTCAAGGTCATTTTTTAGGAACAATTAAGTTCAACATGCGAAAACAAAGCAAGTCATCAACTTAAATTAAGAGCATCTTATATATCATATGATGATCTTATTGAAAATCAAAAGGGTTTTTTTACTACACTGACAAGTATGAAATACTAAAATATGACCCAAACCATACTAGTTGTTAATCTCACATGAAAAATCTGGTTGGAGATTTTTGCAGCACTTTGGAAATCCCATGCAATGATGGTACGATCAGCTGAGTCCCGGCTTACTGCATCTGTGCTTGTAAGAAACTCTCTTCCTTCAGGGAGAAAGAGTACATCCAAAGTCTGTTGTACTGCAGCTTTGTACACTCTTAACACCTATTGGAAAAAAGAGTTTGTTATTTTTTGACAGATTAGAACTTTAAAACCTATTATAACCTATGTTTTCCATCTTTGTATTAATAACTACCTCCATTAAATTATATATTATTTTAAAATATGAAAAAGTAACTAGATTTAAAATGTTGAAGTACTAGTGCATTAAATAGCCTGGTCGATGTATAAAAAGAGTCAACATACAGGAAAATTAAATGAGATTTTTAAAAGTATCAGTTTGTACAATTTACATATTATATTTATATATATATATAGAAGATTCTGTTGTAAATTACCAAGGAATAACAGATCCAGAAAGATCTCTAGACAACCCAAAGTTGTGATGCTGGGTCTACACAAGGTAGGGATTATGAACTCTTCTTGATTCCCTAGCAGAGGCAAAAGAATCTTTGGCAGCAAACTGGCCAACTTGGTGAGCTGGGCTTTAAACTGAGGAACTCAGGGGAATCAGAGAATCAAAACACATAATTGCAATCAGCTGGGGAATAAGCCAGGCCAACCAGAGCAGCAACAAATGTCCTTTAGCTGCCTCCCAACATGAGAACCAGAAGACCAGCCACCTCAAGTGTATGTTTACCAAGGCACACAGCCTGGGAACAACCAGGAGGAACTGGAGCTCTGTGCACAGAAAGCAGTGGTATCACAGGAATAACTGAAACATGGTGAGACAGATCACATGACTGAAGGATCACAATGGGTGGCTATAGGCTGTTTGACAAAGAGAGGTGGGGAAAAAGAGAAGCAGGAGTCATGCTCCATGTTTGTGGGAGCCCTATCGCACGCCTCTGCATCAATATCAGAAGTATCGTCTCCAAGGCAGTGTGAACTCAAACGTGAATTCACCAAGGGCAAATCATGCTCAACAACAAAGTAACCTGCTCAGCTGATGTGGGGTGAGCAGCAGACATTGACTACCTTCATTTCTCCAAGGATTTCGATACAGTTTCCCACTGCCTCCTCCTAGAGAAACTGATGTTGTTGTGGTCTAGACAAATGGTCCGTGCTATGGGTGAGGCCCTGGCTGACACGCAGCACCCAGAGGATGGTGCTAAATTGCTCCTTTCAAACTGGTAACCTGCCACAAGTAAGGTCCCTCAGGGATTGATATTGGGCCCATTGCTGTTCAATATCTTCCTAAGTGATCTGGAAGAGGGGATCAAGTGTACCCTGACATAGTTTGCTAATGATACCAAACTGAGTGGGGAAGTGGACAGTTCAAAAAGGAGAGTCACCCTGCAGGAAGACTTGGATAGGCTGGAAGAGTGGGCTAACAAGAGCCTTATGAAGTGCAACAAGGACAACTGTAAGGTCTTGCACATGGGAAAATATAATCCAGGAGCGTGGCACATGCTGTGTGGCTGGGGAGCAGCTCTGTGGAAAGGGACCTGGGGGTCCTCATGGCCAACAAGCTCAACATGAGTGAACAGTGTGGAGCTGCAGCAGACAAAGCCAACTGGATGCTGCTTGGTATCAACAAGGGCATCTCTAGTAGAGATAAAGGAGTCATTGTCCCACTAATCAGATCTTGTCAAGCCACACCTGGAACACTGTGTTCAGTTTTGTTCCCTCTATAATGCAAAAGACATGTCAACAGGTTGGAGAGGAATCAGAGAAGGATAACAAAGACGATCAAAGGACTGGGCAGCAGATATATGAGGAAACACAGAGAGAACCGGGCTTGTTCAGCCTTGAGAAAAGAAGGCTTAGGAGAGACCTTATAACCATGTTCCAGTATTTAAAGGATGGCTACACAGATGATGGAGATTCCCTTTTTACAAAGAGTTACATGGAAAAGAGGAAGGGTAATGGGTACAAGTTACTCATGGGGAGATTCTGATTGTACACAAAAAGTGGATTAGATCCATGCAGAAATGGCTACTCAGCCACAAGATTCTGAATATTTTAACAGCCTGTAAGATGGACCTTAAAATTAAGACATATTTTGAACTATTCTAAGGAACACATGAACAATTTGAATTTCCTTTCTTTCCATCTTCCTTCATGAAATTCTGTATCTATGTTGTCTAATTTGAATTTTGCAAATCAATACTTTTGCTTTCTTTTTTCTCTCATTTGCCTCTAGTGAAGAAAAACTTCAAGGCAAGTGGCCAGATCAAAGCACATCATCTCTCTGAATATGGTGATCCTTGAAACTAGGACACTGGAAGACTCCTGGTTATTAATATCTAAGTCTCTCTCTCAAAGATAGCTAAAATATAGCAGCCTGCGCTTCTGACGGGGTGTTCAGGGGTTAGTCCTTCTTCTAATATCACTAGAAAAGCCAATAGAGCAGAGAAAGTGCTTGAAGCATTATACTGACTCCTAACTTTGTGAGGCATTTCAGTGCCTACCTTACACCCCTAGCATCTCCAGGAACTAGTGACTTCAGGGCCCAGACCTTTTGCAGATATCATAAGCACATGCATTTAAAACAAACAAACAAACAAACAAAAACAAAACAAAAAAACAACCAACCAAACAAATTTCAGGCATCACAGTGGAATATTCTGGATCACACCTCTGTTTTATACTTTCACCAATAAAAGAAAAATCATTTAAAGTATCAAGCACAGTATGAGAACTTCTTGAATTATTGCCTCAAGCTCAAAATTCTGTGACTGCTGGGAAATGTTCAGAACTAGCTGATCCTGCTTTAGGGTAGCGATTTACTGGTTCATCTCCTGAGGTCCCTTCCAGCTCTGATTCCTGTGGTCTCGGCATGTACAAGGGTGGCAGCAGCAACTGCTCCAACTGCTTTTCACAGGCTTTGAGAAACGCACAGTTTAGAAACACGATGTTTGCGTTCGGTGACGAACCTCAGCCACGCAAGCACCCTACACACTCTGGAATAACAGCAACAAGACGTAAACCTGCAAACTCAAAAAAACTGGCATACTTCTCAGCAACTTGCCTGCATTTTTAAGATAGTGAATATACAAATGTGTTACTTGCTCTCATCAGATTTTTCAGCCTCAGAATCTGCGTAATATACAAAGCAATTAAACTTTGTAAAGCCAAAAGGGATATTTCCATATTTATAGCCTCCACTTTCTCTATGGAGAAATCACCCTGCACAGATATTTCTTCACAGAAGTCCATAGTTCATTAATAATGTAGAAAATTAGGCTATTTTGTAGGAGCAAAAATGATAAAAAAAACCCACAAAAACAAAACTAAAAAAAAACCCACAAAAGATAATAGCTGCCTGGAATGAGATATGGAAAACCATACAGAAACCTGACAGCTGTAGGGACAGCAGCAGAAGAAGAGACCTTCAGAGAAGTGACAAGTCCCAACCAGAGAGTTGGGAATACCAGTGTGCAGAGCAGCATCAATGTGTAGAAAATGAGACAGAGACAGAAATAAAGGCCAGTTAGTGCTGGGAAATGAGGAACAACAACATAGAGCACTAAATGACAACAAAGTTCCAAACGGTGATTCATGGCCGTGATTCTTTAACATTTTCCTATTTTAAAGAAGAAAATCACAGACATACTATTTGGGTCTTTATCACCTAAAAAACCCCCAAACTTGTGAAATGTGGGTACTTATGCACATCCACTGTGGTGCACACACAGGTACACATGCACTGTGTCCAGTATTGTTAAGGGTTTAGGTTTTGGACTTATTTTTAACAGTCTTTGGAGCAACAGACATCTTTCAGTAAGGAACAAGAAGATACTGTGAAGTTGTGCACATGCTTCTAATTTTTGTTGATAACCTGTTGGGCTCTTACAGAAACTGCCACTATCAATTTCAACATTTTCACTAGTAATCATTAAATAATATTTTCTTGTCTGTTATTTAATAGGATATCTAACCAAAGTACCTGTGTATCTTAGCTTTGCAACAGGAAACTGTCTTTATAAAAGTTACTACCAAAGACCTTTTTTTTCTATATGTTTGACACATACCTCAGAAAAGCTATGCTGTTCAGTCTTCAAACCACACAGTCAGTAAGAACTGACTCAGAGAACAGCAAACTAACACTGTGAATAGCAGTCAGGAATTAGATATACATAGTATTTAAACTGCCCCATAAGGACATCTTTCAAAAATAACTAATTGCAATATCCCTGCTCAGAAAAGTATTCATAATTAAACCTGCTTTATTTTACCTTAGACAATTAATTCATGATATGTCTGAGGAATTTACTTGGGGAAAGCACCAGTTGGCCTACCCTGCTGGCTTAAGTTTGTTAATAACAGCTTCTTCTCTTTTTCTATTTGCAGATTTATCACCCATAAGCACTGGAAAACCACAGTCCACTTCTTCAATCTAAGCATTTTCTGGACATAAAAGAATTCATTTCAAAGGAAGGCCTAATAGTTTCTGGTGTCAACACAATCCAACATAATAACAAAGCTTCTTCACTACGGCAAGGGTTCATGGCTGCAGGCGTTCGACAAGAGAGGTAATTTAAGCAAATTAGATCAGCTTCAAACAGATTCTTATGGCCCTGGTGATTTGGAAACCGTGCTGTGATGCTGAATTCAAGGTATATATTTCAGATGGGTGTTCTATAACACTTCTCTGCAATAAAGCAGGTGCAATGCCTAGTATTTTGTTTGTCAAGAAATCTCAAAGTCTCCATGCAAGCAATTCAGAAGCTGTTCCTTGCCCCAGCTCTATGCTGGTCACCTGTAATCTATGTGCTCTGCACTTTTCAAAAAGCCACTCAAGTTTTATGCCAGAAATGTGGGGTTTTTATAGTCCTTGCCCTGGGCATCAGCAGATGAGGTCTCAAAACAAATCTAATAGGACTACAGGCAATCTGGCTGGTCACTAAAAAAAAAAATCCTTAATCAGTCAGTGCCATGACTTCCAATCTGTAAACCTGGGCATACCTTTTCTTCCACTTCTTGTCCTACCTTTTTAGATTGCATACTTTGGCTTGGAACTGCCTCTTCCTACTGGTATGTTGGGTAATTAATGCAGTGGGGGACTCATTTAAGTTTCCTCTGTGAAACAGTACTACACC